TTTATTTATTTTGTGATATATTGCGTCAATGGACAATGGTAATTATACAAAAATGCAATATTAAATAATCTATATGTATCATCTTATTATTTCCATAGCGATGCGCCCATAGACTGTATAAGGATGCGCATCATAGACAAATCAGAATCAGATCAGAGTTTACTGTAGGTTAGTCAGAATTCGCGCTGAACGAATTGTTTTCACACGTTTACGGAGTTCTGTGCACTCACAGATCTTCCCATTATAACAAGAAAAAAGGTTTCTCACATAACCCATTTAAAATTTGAAGAAAAATTTTGTTTGTCCACGTATACTGTTTCAAGAATGACAAGCACGAGTGTAAAAAATTACGTGAGTAAATCAGCTGAACTGTTCCTGCGAGTCATTGCTATGATTGACACTTTTGACAGTGATAAATGTTGTAGCAATGGACGGAATGAACTATATGTCAAGCCAATGTCAAAATAGAGCTGTGCATTAAGTAATGCAGAGTAAATTCAGAGTAACAAGCCTACAGTAGCGACAAGTCTGCTGGTTGAATATATTTAGCAGCTCCTACAGTTAAATATGAAATACTTAATACATTATTTAATTATTATACCTAATTATTAATTGAATAAATAAGTATCTTTAGTACACTAAAAGTAAAAAAATTTGGTATTATAGTAATTTTATAACAAATCCAAAAGCAAGACGTGACAAAAACTAGGGAGTGGAAACGGCAACTGAGCTGATGGGTGATCCTCTGCTGCCATCTACTGTTTACAATGGTAATTTCATGTCATTTTAATCTTAAAAGTCTTTGTTTTTTACTTGGAGACACATTTTTGGCATTTTTTGAACAAAAAGAGAATCTTTAAAAGTGAAGTTTACTGCACAACTGTAGAGTTAAAAAAAATAATATAGGCTTTAAAATATTTAAAGTGTTTAAAAAAATGTATACTATAGACGAACAGTGGGTAGTGTGTATTTATTTTATTTTTTGTTATATATTCATGCATCTCACTCCAGCCAGGCAACCCCGATATAATATAACATTTTAGTTAGCTAGTTTTAGATAAAAGTTTTTGTCTACACGATCAGCTCCGGTGGCCGTGGAGCCGTAGACGCGTGCCGTGATGTACAGATCAGCTCTAACGTCACTGAATCTGCTGTTAAAAATGAACCAGATTATGAACAATAAAGAAACATTTATGGCGAGTATGGCCATAATAGTCAAATTAAAAATAATGGGTCAGCGCTGACAGCCTTATGGGCAGCACACCGACATATAGCGCCGTTGCACTCGAATTGTTCCCGAGTTCGAATCCTGGCTCGAGAAACTTACCCGATCCCCCCCCACTCTCTCTCTCTCTCTCTCTCTCTCATTTTGTTCTGTAAAGGCATTGTCTGCTGGTTAATTTATCTACTTTTCAGCACACCACATTAAGTATGCCACTTAGTCCTGTAAGACTTTGAATGTTAAAGTGCAAATTAACACCTGACCACGGTTGTGGGTTTGCTAATGTTACAATTAAAAATCATAGAAGGGTAAAAACATTGGTATGATGCAAGCAAAACAGCTACAACAAATAAAACTGTTAGATTTATAGTGTATGAATAACCAAGCATTGACAATAATCAGTCGTATTGGCGGCACCGAGGGGCCCCCAAATAAAATTCTGCTTAGGGCCCCATAAAGGCTTGGGCTGGCCCTGATGGGTTCTATTGTATTTTGTTGCAAACACCCAGTTATAAAATGTGATGTGACCGATGTAATAAGCATGAGTTCTGGGCCGCGGTGCGGCCGGTATAAACACCAGCATTGACTGAGTGGACACGATCAGCTCCGGTGGCCGTGGAGCCGTAGACGCGTGCCGTGATGTACAGATCAGCTCTAACGTCACTGAATCTGCTGTTAAAAATGAACCAGATTATGAACAATAAAGAAACATTTATGGCGAGTATGGCCATAATAGTCAAATTAAAAATAATGGGTCAGCGCTGATAGCCTTATGGGCAGCACACCGACATATAGCGCCGTTGCACTCGAATTGTTCCCGAGTTCGAATCCTGGCTCGAGAAACTTACCCGATCCCACCCCACTCTCTCTCTCTCTCTCTCTCTCTCTCCCACTTCGCTTCCTGTCACTTCTACACTGTCCTATACTAATAAAGTCAAAAAACGTCAAACATTAATCTAAAATAATAATTATGTGAAATGAAGAAATCATTTCGGCCAGTAAATCATCTCAGTTCACCGGCACTTGCAAATGTGGCAAAAAGTTAATCTGTTGCCAGTTTTGGAAATGCAAGTATATAGAAGCTGTTCTGCCAGGTGCCAACATGGAAAATAGCTGTGCCAAGATGGCCTTGGAGTGGAGCAACTACAGGGAATTTAAGGGATACCCTTTGAGTTTCCAGTAATTTGTCAAATCCTGTCAGTAGCCTCATTTCTCTGAAGCAGATACATCTCACATCTCCAGTTCTTTTTATTTTCGATCGTCTTAGCTTACACTATACCATACTTAATTCAAGAGTAAGTTCACGTGGATTCGGGAAAACCAGCTCATGTGCATAGTTTATCTGGTATGGATGAAAACACCACCAAATTGTATCTGACAGATTTCAAATAAGACTGAGGATGTTATATTATTTCAAACTGTTTTTGAGTAAACAATTTCCCCTTTGTGTTTTCTTGTGCATTTATATAGACAACTATAATAAAAAACATATCATTCAAGTCCTGGTTACAGAAATGCATTTCCACTAAACAAAAAGTTCAAAATTACATTTGAAGAACCCATTTAGATCTTAATGTTCCTTTTAGTTTACATATAATCAGATTTCCCATAAGCCCCACCCACTAACGTACCATCATGACGATCTTTGAAGAGCTGTGGCCGTACCAAAGGCTGTGATAAGCCAGGAGGCTCAACATGGCGTAAAATACCACTGTGGCGAGGTTGCGAGGGTCCAGCAGGGACTCCACAAGAGGGATAGTGCCCATCGTCCAGTCACAACACAACTCAGAGGGGTTGAGCAGCAGCCAGGTGTTTACTGGCAGGAGGTAGTTGAAGGTCAGCTGCCTGGTCGGGGTGGAGCTGACGGCAGCTGGATTATCAAACCTGATGATAGATAGAATAGAATTAATGAGTACTCCTCTCCATTAAGACATTCCACACTAAAAGACACTGTTCATTTTGAAAAGTTTTTATTGATAAGAGAAATATACAGATAAGGAAAGGCAGGTTTTACATTTCACCAAATCAATTAGCTCAACAACAACAACAAAAAAAGTTCCAACTCTGTTTTGGATGTTTACTGGATATTAGTGCAACACTCAGCAGGAAAATCTTTAAAGATATATTTCTTTCAATAGTTTATATTTTTTCTCTCAGGTCTTTAAAATGACTGGTTAAATGCTTTAATAAGTGCTTGTGCTAGAGCTGTGGTTGTGAACCATTAACCAATATCATAAATATAATATTTTCATGGGTCTAAGTTCAATAGAACACAGTGGTGCCTCATTGCGCTCAGATCGGAACTGCTGAAGAGAACTGAACGCAAACTGAATTCTTGCCATTTTCAACATTCTACACTATTTAGCATTGAATTGAGAATGATTTTTAATTTCTAGTTCAGTTCCTGAATTTGAATTGAGGTAGCAAATGGGAAATAATCTAAAATAAATGTTGGCTCAACAGCTTTCGTTGAAAGTTTTAAAAAGTTAATCTTGAAATGGGGAAACCGCAATTCAGTAAACTTACTGTCATTGAGAATTAAATTCAATCACACAATTCAAATTCACACCTATGAGCTGAAAAGAAGCTCATTCTTGAATTCTAAATTGTGCCCAAAGCCTGCAACATACGCCCTCAGAGTATGGGTTCAGAACATAATACTGCAAGATATACATTTCCTAGCAAGTAAAAAAACAAAAAACAAACATCCTTTATTCCTTAGTGCGGTAATTTACTGCATTTTTTGTTGATTTAATTCAACACATGACCATTATTCTGCAATGCATCATGTTCCCTATGCCTGTGAAACCACAAAGAGGTTTAAAAGGATCCAAGCCACACTGAAAAACAGCCAGACTGAATGATAGACATCAGGCGGCTAAAAAAAAGTCACCAAAACAACCATGGTGCCAAGTTGGCAAGACTGATCTGTGGAAACAGGCCATTAACTCTGATTCAAGACTCAAAGATTAAAACAAAGTATTGATGTTCTTTGAATCACAAGCATGTAATGTTGATGGTGCATTAAACAGCAAAATTTTTTGGATTATAATGATTATGGACAGTGGACATCCATTAACAGGAATCAAGAGCATCCTGATTTAATAAAAGGTTTAAATAGAAGGTTTCAAATTAAAGTGCATTTATTCATTTGGCAGCACATATTAGTAGACATGCTACCATTCAAGTTACAACATTAAGGTTTTTCCTTTAAAAAAAAACTTTAAAAAGGTCAATTTAAGTGCAGAAAATTGACACAGGCTTTCAGTCTTCACTATCAATTTCTTATCCCTTTCAAGCTCGAAGCTACTATTTTCCAAAGATGAAATATTTCCGCTGTTTGAAATGGACATAAACTGAAGTTTATCGCTTGGCTTTCACTGAGGGGTGTGTTTTGGAGAGAGGTTTGAAGGGTGGGAGAGCCAACTGCAAGTATTAAAAATCCAATAAAAGCCTTTGCACAACCCTGTCATAAATCCAATGTCTTGGAAGAAGAATGTTTTTGTTTTGGCTGGGACATTCCAACATTATCAAAATATTCCCGAATACAACACATGCAGGGACAAAATATACTTAGAAAGTATGTTAATCCAGCGTATTATGTCTCTAGAGAGCCATGTGATAACACTAATTCAGACGGTCGGAGACAGTCAGTGGATTATGTCTGGGGATTAGCGATGGCTTCCGTGACGAATCCAAGAGGATTTTTCCCTCAGATCCCAATCAACTTCCCCGGGGATAATGATCAGGTGGAGTATGTCTAGCCATTCACACAGAGCTCTTGGATTCGCTGAGATGCTTGATTTGTTTAGGGGTGGGCGGAGTCAATTTGCCATCTAAGCACTACTATAGGGGCGGTTCTAGATCAGCTGATATATAGATCATTAAGTTAATTTCAGGCCTAGGCTGTTGATGTTTACAAAAGCGTCATGACAGCTCTCATCACTTTAAAAGATTATCATGCACTGCATTACGAAAGATTTTCCCATAACATGATACCACGGATGTGTTTACATTCATTTGTCACATCGTTCTCTTGGTGACTGATACTATTTTGGCTTCAGCTGAGAAACTCTAATCATTTCCTTTTGAAGACCAAATGTTCAGTAATAAATCAGTATATTAAGGCAATAATGCCACTCAAGGATGTGCATTACACCATGCGTAATGCAACAAGCCATTTGTCCACGCTGAATATAATGATGCATGACATAGGGCTGCATGATTAATGGAAACAAAACCAAAATTGTGATATGGCTCAGTGTGACTAATTAAATAAATAAATGTATAATAATTATTATTATTACAATCATTTTGTAGCATTGATATATAATAACAAAATTTGACAAATTGTGCAGTAAGCACAGCATTTTTTAATTGCATTTTAAATTTGAATCAATTTAACAAATTTCGCAATTACATTTTTTCACCAAATCGTGCAGCCCTCGCATGACGTGATAATCACAGCCATTAAGCTATCATAATGTGTAATAACATGTATGTGCAGTACCATTCAAACGTTTGGGGTCATTAAGATTTTTTTCTTTAAGGATGCTATAAATATATCAAAAGAGACAGTAAAGACATTTATAACGTCATAAAATATTTCTATTTCAAATAAATGTTGTTCTTTTGAACTTTCTATTCATCAAGACTTTATCATGGCTTTGAACTCTACTAAGGCCCCACAGTTCATGATTTGTGATGTGATTCACAGATTAGTCATTTAACAATCATCCTATAATATATCCTCTAATACTCTAAATAGCCTAGAAATACCTGCTGCTGTCTGTGTGAATGTTAATCAAACAGCTTAAACCGAGATTAATCTATAATTAACTTACACAGTGAACACTACGCAGTGTTACTTTTCATTTAAAGTTGACATATCATGAAAATCTGACATTTCCAGGTTTTAAGTGCTATAATCAGGTCCCCGGTGCATCTACCATTTAAGGAAACGTGAAAAAGGTTAACCCAGTAACTTTGTTTTGGGAAGCCTTTTTCTGCAAGCGTCTGAGAAAACGAGCGCGTCTGACTTTGCTCCCTTGGTGACGTGGCAAATGGATCTCATTATAATATTACCGTCCCTTAATCTGTAAATGTAATACACTCACAGCGCTGTCATTGTGTTTTCGCAAGCGACAACGGTGTACCAGCTCTAATGCCATGGTGAAAATTTGAGCAAAAACGTTCTGTCTTTGGCTGCAGAGACGAGCACAGGACACTATTTAGAGTCTCAGCCTCAGAGGAGGCAAGAGAGCAGTGGATTTATTGATTTATTTACTGTATATTGCTGCTGCCACACAGATCTAAAATAAACCTGCAATTTATTTCCCAGCAGTTTACCTTCACAGACATAACCGACTGTTTTTGTTACTCGTGTGTGTTTTTAACGTAAACTTGTGTGTGAATGAGAACTTAGTTTTTTTAAGAAATTTGAAAGGGTGCCGTGACTGAATAAAGGTTGGGAAATGCTGGTATATAACACAACAGAGGTTTTGGTGTAGTCTCACCTGGTGAACACTGGCAACTGGGACTGAATGACCTGCACCCTGACGATGACCAGCAATAGTGTGCTGATGATCAGGACAATGAGCTTCAGCAGGGTCTGGAGAATAGCATAGGGAAAACCATCTTTTCCTCTCAACACTTGAAGTAGGGTGTCAATCAGCATGGGCAGAGTGAACTGGATTAAAAACAAAGAGGAGAAAATGACATGACAAAGGAAATAAAATATAAGTAAATACATACATATACATGCATCTCTGATCAATGTCCAGTTTGGACAGACGGCTTGATCTAGGCAATGCGTTGCCATATGTTTTTCCACTTCTTGATGCTCTGAACAGTACTTAGAGGGATAGCTAAAGCCTTCGAAAATGTTTTTGTAGCCTTCTTCTAACTTGTGGTACAACTTTATCCCGGAGGCTTTTTGAAAGCATTTTTCCAACCATGGTGAACTCTTTGCAGTACTAAATGCACTACTAAAAGTGGAATCTTCAAGAAACAGCTGGTTTTATTCTTAAGTAATCAAAACCACTACAACTAACATCAGGTGGGGCAATTAGCCTAGTGTTTGATCTGGAAGTTGATTGGTTGCACCCGAGTAAGCGGAGTAATGGTATACACTAATGGGCTGATCACTTCACCAAACCAGGTATATGACTAATATAAAATGTAAATTAATTTAAAGGGGTCATAGTGTGGCTAAACACCACCTCCACAGAGGAAGATCAATGCCTGCTCCTACATCGCTGCCTGTTTATCACCAAATTCGCGCATGTAGTGTTTACGAGAGAGGCGAACGCACAGGTCTACACAGAAACCAAACGATAAAGATGGCTCTGAAGACAACAAGACGCTGTTCAGTGCCAAGTTGTGGAAAAACAGTCTTTGCATTGCCTTCCTTGTGATCCCAACATTAGGAAAGAGTGGATTAACTTTATTTTTAATGAAGTTCCAGACAGCGTCAGTAAGAACTTGGTCCTTTGTTCACTTCATTTGACCACGCATTCGATTACAAACATGGCATAGTTCGACGCAGGATTTTCAGAAAGATTGAAATTAAAAGACGATGCTGTGCCGACTATATTGGATCTGACAGTGATGTCGCAACATGTGATGTGAGTAATGGTTTTTAATCACGTGGTCACTATTGCTTTGTCTGTTAAACAGATCAATTGATAGGAGTATGTATGCGATTTTAACCTAAATCACAGCTGCATCCATCTCTGAAGGATGTAGGATGTCAAACATACACAAGTGTTAGCCAGTCATAGCAGTGGGCATTTACTTCCGAGTCTACCTATACAAACAGAGCGTTTCAATAAGGGGGGGTAAAAACAGGACTGAAAATAACCTATTACTGCTGAATTATGATGTTTTTTGATGCAAAAATCTTGATAACATTATAAGGGGACCTCAGAGTACAAAATAAGTTCATGAACCCTTTAATACAATGAAAAAAGTTAAATATATACACTTCCATTCAGAAGTTTGGGGTTTGTGAGAGTTTTTAATGTATTTGAAAGTATCCTTTGTTCACCAAGGCTGCATTTATTTGACGAAAAATATAGTAATCTGCTGGAACGCCACTCTTTCGTGGACGGGCATACGGCAGTTAGCGTAAGCTAGAGATTACAGTTTATAAAGTTGTAAATATGGATAGTTTCTTACACAAATGCATCAATTCGCTTCAGAAGTTCCCAGAGCCACGTGGAGCACTTTTTACAATGGATGGATGCACTTTTATTGGACTTCAAAATCTTAAAACCCATTCACTGCCATTATAAAGCTTGGAAGAGCCAGGTCATTTTTTAAATATAAATTAGCATTCGATTGTATTCGTCTGAAAGAAGAAAGCCATATAAAACTAGAATGGCTTGAGGGTGAGTAAATCATGGGGTAATTTTCATTTTTGGGTGAAATATCCCTTAAACTATACAAGTATCCACAATAAATGTACAGTATTACATACTCATTTTCATTTATTTAACTAGTAATAATTATTCTTACATAATGCTTAGGGCTTTTTCCATTTTTGTTGACGGCAAAAGTGAAGAGAAGACAGGCAACAACGACAAGAGACACAACACATGCTGTATTCAAACCACACAGATCCCATTTGACCACCACAACTTAATCTGTCTGCCAACGGGTTAACCACGAGGCCACACACCCAACCCAACCCAAAAAAAAACACTTCTCACAGAGATAAATGCTACGTTAGAGGTCGCTGCAACGAAACTTTTACATGCCACAATCCGGATGCATTAGATCAACGTTACATGTAATACATTATCGCTTAAACGCTGCACTTTTAAACGACTTTATTTAAACGAGTAATTACTTAAGCTACATGCATTTCAGCAAAACATTAAAGTGCAAGCGCTACTCATGCATATGGGTTAGAGGCATAGCTTAGGGCTGCGTACGGACTAAACAGAGCAAAGATCCAAGGCAAAGACCCTCAGACCTTGAGTTTCTGTCAGAAACAACAGCTGCTTGCATTCAGTTGCTAGCTCACATAAGAGGATTATGCCACAGTCCATTATGTAAAAATTAAATTGCATAATACAAAGCGAATGGAAGGCTGTCAAAAGAGCAAAGACCCCGACGAGCATCCGAACGCTAATGGACAGAATGAACGCTACATCGTTAAGTGGCTTTTACTTGATATTAACATATAGATGCTAATCTGCTAGGAACAAGAGAGATACGTTTGAAAAAACTCTTTAAAAGGACACAGTGTCCTTAATGACTGTGACATGCAACATCTAACTAATGTCAGTGCGTCAAAACATTTTGATTTTTTAAATCCTGCAGCTCGTTTTAAACGGAACAGGCAACAGGGTGTTTTCACATCTGGTAAGACTTGTGGTTAACAAAACTATGAGACTTTGCTGTTTTGTTTCACTGCCATTAGAAATGAGAGATGTTTCCCTAAAGTTATTTACTCAACTGTCACTTACAAAATAGTTATGTCTTGCATCGCTTTTTTTCCAGACAGAAGGCACTGAATGCTGTATCAGATAAGAAACCTGTATAAGCTGTTGGTTATCACTCAGCTGATGCCTCAGTGTTGATTTTCACACTCTTCCTCGAAAAACTCAATGCAGACATGCCCTTTGGGCTTTAAAACTAATTTTATATTCACACCAAATGAGCTCACATGACAGTCGAGACGTCAATGGAAAAGTATATAAGACGTTGAGTGAAACGGGTTCATTTTCACTGCCAGAGAGGGATTTAGAGCTTTATAACCAATACACGTCGCCACAGGAAATTGCCGATACCTCAGAGTTATTTGCTTTACATTAAATTTTCGATTTTTTCCACCGCAACCATATGCATTTAGCTTAATTTTAGATTAAGTTGTTTCAAGAGTTTTTTTTGGTATTAAACTGTGAAGATAGTGTGAAGATAATGTCTGTAGTCATCATGCAAGGCTGCGCCCCATGAGGATGCATTAAGTCTTTCCATCTGGGTAGCAGTTTCGCATTCCCTCTGTCTTTCTGCCAACAAAATAGAGCTTTTATTATCAAAAAGTAAAGGATGTTTTATGACTTCCATTAAAAGCAATACAGTTGTCTTTTTTTGAACTTATTAACAAATAAGCTTTTGATCCCAAGACCCTGTGACAGATCCTATTGACTTTAACCATGCACATCAACACATCCTTTATTTACGAGTCGATAAATAAATGTCACACTCACCCCTTGGGCAACGAACACCTCGTAAATACAGCATATCCCAATGACAGTTATTCCCTGCTCCTTGCATAGGGTGGCAACGGCAACCAGGAGCACGGTTGAAATGATAGGAGTCCACACTGAAATAGGAAGTTGAGGACATCTCATTTTTAATATGTCGGAAGTGCTTTTGAGTAACTTTATGCATCTTTCAAACATCACTCAGATTTAAGAAAGTGGAAGACGGAAAGCAGCCTGGTGTTGCTGTTCACTGGGTGGCTGGGGAATCCCGTCCCACAAGTCTTTTAAAGGGAATTGCAGAAAAACACTTAATATAAACAGGGTTGTCAATTTAACTTGTTAAGTTAGCATGATTATTTATCACAATATGACTTGCCAAACCACACTCCCAATGCAGGCAGCACAGAATGAATTAGGAGCCGTTCACACGACTGTGTCTTGTTCAAAAACAGCTGGATGGAGTGCAACAAATGGAACTGAACACTAACAGACAAAAGTGGACAAATATGTCTGTAGTCATCATGCAAGGCTGCGCCCCATGAGGATGCATTAAGTCTTTCCATCTGGGTAGCAGTTTCGCATTCCCTCTGTCTTTCTGCCAACAAAATAGAGCTTTTATTATCAAAAAGTAAAGGATGTTTTATGACTTCCATTAAAAGCAATACAGTTGTCTTTTTTTGAACTTATTAACAAATAAGCTTTTGATCCCAAGACCCTGTGACAGATCCTATTGACTTTAACCATGCACATCAACACATCCTTTATTTACGAGTCGATAAATAAATGTCACACTCACCCCTTGGGCAACGAACACCTCGTAAATACAGCATATCCCAATGACAGTTATTCCCTGCTCCTTGCATAGGGTGGCAACGGCAACCAGGAGCACGGTTGAAATGATAGGAGTCCACACTGAAATAGGAAGTTGAGGACATCTCATTTTTAATATGTCGGAAGTGCTTTTGAGTAACTTTATGCATCTTTCAAACATCACTCAGATTTAAGAAAGTGGAAGACGGAAAGCAGCCTGGTGTTGCTGTTCACTGGGTGGCTGGGGAATCCCGTCCCACAAGTCTTTTAAAGGGAATTGCAGAAAAACACTTAATATAAACAGGGTTGTCAATTTAACTTGTTAAGTTAGCATGATTATTTATCACAATATGACTTGCCAAACCACACTCCCAATGCAGGCAGCACAGAATGAATTAGGAGCCGTTCACACGACTGTGTCTTGTTCAAAAACAGCTGGATGGAGTGCAACAAATGGAACTGAACGCAAGGATCTTGAGATGGTTTTTAAATTCATATGGAGTCGCTCGCGTTTGAAGATGTGATGCAACGGCCATAGACACATCAACCTAAATATAAAGCTATATTAGAATTCTAAACTAAATGCTTTTGTCTGTTACAAATATCACATTTAATTGTAATTCATTCAATTAAATGAGTGGCATATCATATAATTCATTTGACAACTATTATTGATTGCGAGTTACACAAATGCAGTGGTGGCCTGGCTCTATGCCACCTGATATATTAATGATCTTTATTATAGGTCAAATTGTGACCCATAATATATAAAGAGCAATCAATACAACACTATTCAATCATGCATTTCCTTTTACACCTTCAAACTAAGGTGACGGCTAATTTAAGATGAACAAAAGAAAAGCAAATCAAATAAAATAAGAAAATAATCACTTGCCATCACACCATAGACAAGGCAACAACAAAAATACTATGACGGGATTAACATTCTGCAAAATCATAGTGGGAGGTTGACGGTATAATATAATAATTGTGTTGAAATGCATCAAGTCAGAAACAACATGCCAATTTGATCGATCTGTGAAACTGGAGCTGTGTAATCAAGACTTCTGGGTGGGGAGCTTTTGAATGAGAGGCGAGTCGCAGCTTGCGCGTCGTGTCCTAGGAATGAACTTGTTGCAGCGTGCATGCAGGGATTATGCGGTTATGCGATGGCACTCAAGACTTCTGGGTGGGGAGCTCGGTGAGCTTTTGAATGAGAGGCGAGTCGCAGCTTGCGCGTCGTGTCCTAGGAATGAACTTGTTGCAGCGTGCATGCAGGGATTATGCGGTTATGCGATGGCAACACTTACCAATGGAGTGATCGGCGCCTTTTGATTTGGTGTATGCCAGGAAAGCAGCCAGCAGGAAAATGGAGGACAGCAACTCAGCCCTGCCAACGACACCTGTCACCTGCACATAGCGAAAGATTTCAACAGCTCAATGTGCAAATCTCTCCACACTCGCAACAGGTGGAATTTCAATTAACCAATACATGCCAATCTGATGCATGTAAAATTAATTGTCGTATGTTTGATTGACATGATCTTTTATAAAGTGTGTTTTTACAGTAAGGTTTCTTCTTACGCCACGATTGGAGATTGGATGGAAAGTCTATGCCATGAAGAGTCATGTGACAGGTGCAAGAGGAACCAGTTTTAAGCAATCAATCATAACTGTAAAACAAATAATTTTTTTCCCTTTCATACAACCTGTGAGAACTTTTGCTGAAAATAATCCAAGCAATTATATAAGATCATCATATGGTATAATTAATTGTTATATAACATTATATACAGTGGAGTCCAAAAGACAGACAAACAGCGCAAAAGTTCTTTAATTTAATGCATTTTTTTTATTACAAATTATAGCATAAGCATCTGTCTTATGTTTGATTGACATGATCTTTTATAAAGTGTGTTTTTACAGTAAGGTTTCTCCTTACGCCACGATTGGAGATTGGATGGAAAGTCTATGCCATGAAGAGTCATGTGACAGGTGCAAGAGGAACCAGTTTTAAGCAATCAATCATAACTGTAAAACAAATCATTTTTTTCCCTTTCATACAACCTGTGAGAACTTTTGCTGAAAATAATCCAAGCAATTATATAAGATCATCATATGGTATAATTAATTGTTATATAACATTATATACAGTGGAGTCCAAAAGACAGACAAACAGCGCAAAAGTTCTTTAATTTAATGCATTTTTTTATTACAAATTATAGCATAAGCATATAAATTTGATTGAAAAGTTACATTTCAGAATGTTTAATATTCAGTTTTGCTTCATGGACAGCAGCACTCAAACTGCATGACCTCCAAAAGCTTGTGAAAACCCCAATGACCACGACTTGAGAATGATCCAAACAGCATCTTGTGCCTCAATGGAAGCAAAGAATCTGACCTTTGAGGAGTTCACATGCTCAGGGTCACATATTTGCTTATTTAATTAGTGACCTTAAAATATTTCTCATTCACTGAACGTCATAACGTTATTCAATTTTCCCCCTAAAATCTGTTTATTTCCAGATTTAAATTCGATTAAGATAAGCCATTTTATAATGTGTCTGATTTATACCTCAGTGGCAAAACTTGGAGCTCCAGAGTTTGATTCATTTCTGTGAATCACTAAACAAAAGGAATCAACATTAAATGATTTGTTTGCATCATGCCTGAAAAAAATGTTCATTAAAAGGCATTTTTCATACATTTTGTTAATTTATTTAGTTAATTTAATGACAAAAAGACATGTCTGTATTTAAACTGTTGCAATAAACATGGTTAATCTAATTGCAACAGTGGAAATATATATCGGCAGCCATCTTTGAAGCACCTCTGGGGCATGCAAGTGCAGCTCCTATCTCTTTGAATGGGGAAACATCAAATTCTCCAAAACCCTTCACCAAGCTTACGATTAAACTTCATATTTGAAATCACCAATGAAATCTGACAACTGTATCATAAATGTTGTTTATTTTGCTGAAATGTAAAAAAAAGCGTATTTTTCAGGTCAGCCAGTGCTTATGTGCAGTCTTTTGATCTAGAAAGAAAAAATCTAGAACTGGCAAAAATGCTGAAGGTCTGTATCTTTGCTTTGTTCCAGACATGCATCTGTTTATTGGAATGTGTGAGGGACAAAAACATTCTCCCTGCAAATTCATCTGATAATCATGCTTTCCTTCCCACGTAGGTCAAACCACGGGACCTTAAAGCAGATGATTCAGAGAAAATGATTCAGCTCTTTAGAATCTCACAAACACTCCTGAGGGTAAGACTCATACACCATCACCACACATCTGCTTCTTTCAGTTGGAAAGCTTTGAATTTCTTTTACTAATTATTTTCTGGTCATTGAAGTCCATCTGCAGTTGCTGTCAGTCATTCTAATAGTATTGTGTGGGCCAGTCTAGATGTTACATTGGATGACTTATTGCCCCGCAGATGAAACTGGATGAAATTAAATGTGCCTATGAGGTTGTAGACAGTGCTGGTGCGGAGCAAGCAAGAATTGGTATGTACAGTCATTATTCGATTTGCATTTCCCACAGGAAATAACAGTGCTTGCAAGGTAGCAAAATAGTAGTGTTCAAGTCTTTTAATAAAAATAAAAAATAAAATAATAAAATTGATTAAATTAGTGTTTTTTTTTTTTACTCAAGGTCACTTACCAAAATGTTTTATTTTTATTCGTAAAACATGTACTGGTTTAAATCAGAATTCATCATGCATACTGTATATGACATCAACAGCAGTTCGATTTTGAATGCAGAACATGTCCGTGAGAGATTTCAAATCTCACTCTTAAAATTCTTCAGTAAATTATTTTAGACATAAATTCAAAGTATTATATTTAAAAATCCAGTATACATAGCAAACCTAAGGCTGAAATTATCGGTCACACTTTATTTTAAGGTCCAATTCTCGCTGTTAACAAACCATTATCTATGATTTTTGCCTCGATAAACTCCTAATTTGCTGCTTATTAATAGTTAGTAAGGTAATTTATGTTAGTTAAGTTTAGGTATTGGGTAGGATTAGGGATGTAGAATATGGTCATGCAGAATATGTGATTTGTAAGTACTAATAAACTGCCAATATGTTAATAATAGGCATGTTAATGAGCAACTAGTTAATAGTGAGATTTGGTCCCTATACTAAAGTGTCACCAGATTATCTAACAACTATGTTAAATGCTAGAGCTTTTCAAGCACTGTAATGGTTTCAAACAACATCCTAATATTTTATTGTTTTATGGTTTATAAGTTATGAAGTTGATTGTAAGAATTGTAACATATTAGTGCAATTTATTAAGTAATATATTTATGCTTGTGTATTAAATGATTGCAGAAAATGAGTTAAAAGCCAAAGTCCTAAAGCTGGAGGGTGAGCTAGAGGTAAGGGAGGTATTACACTAATAATTGTGTGTACAAGTGCACTTATTTGATTTGCATCATCTGTGTACAAGTACAGTCTTAAGAGGATTACGGGCTTAATGCCTTGTGTGTTGCTGTCTGTTAAAACTATAGTTGTTCTGCACATCACATTTCCTTTGATATGTTTATTATTGTGAAATAAGCGAGATGTCATTGAGCTGCACAACTCATCAGTGTCAGAGATATATACAGATGGAGAGTTTTGGGTCTTGGGTCTTGAGCTTTATTCAGATCCGCCTTGCTTCCTGTCCAGATGGCCCAGCGCGTGATGGGAGTGGGTGACACGCGTTTCCTCCGGGATGAGATTCACCAACTGGAGAGTCAGCTGGAGCGCAAAGAGAGAGAGGTGACCCAGCTGGAGAAGGAAATGGGCAAGGAGAGGAAAGCCAATGAGGAGGTAGGCACTTTCCACGAATAGGGTACAAAAGAGTGAGAGAGAAACCCTGAAGTCTTTTTTTTTTTTTTATCAGTAAATGGTCGGTGAAAGGAAGTGCTAAACCTTCAGATATTCCCTGTCGAGCTCAAACTAAATATTAGATGAGCTGTTCTATTTATATGATATTTGTTATTTCGGCAACCCTGTTACCAAAATTTGGGACATGAATAAATGCATTTTAAAACCAGAATTTGTGTAATTTTGTTGTTTTTCCAGCAATAAACATCAAAATTAAATAGATAAAAGTTGATCAAATGTAATACAACAGTAAAATATACCTTAGATAATAGGAATGTTAATTTAAATGTTATCATAACATATCAGATATTAGGAGCTGTTAAATAAATTAAAGAAAATTGCATTTTTTACATTAACTTTGGCAACGGTTGAGTGTTTGACTTGATGCACGTTTAAATTTGTGTAAAAATTGAGAACGTGGAATGAGATTATTCCCTTTTCTTCCTGATATGCTATAGACAGGGTCTACAGGGTCTGATAAATGTTAGGTTTTGGTAATTAAAATCTAAAAGATAAAAGACATTTTTTGAATTGAGATGTGTCAAAAAAGGTGACAAAGTTATGTATTTTGATTGTTGGATAAATATCCTGTTCATTAAAAACAAAAAGTATGGGATAATAATAGGGATGATGTGGAATTGAGAACAATCTAATGCATTGGTTGTATATTTTGCATCTCGCAGCTGGCTCTCCGTGCTGAAGAGGCAGAAGAGAAGAACAGAAAACTCAAAAGAGAGGTATGTCCAGTCATTGCCTGTGTAAAGACTACAATTTTAAATCTTTCTCTTTCTGTTACTTTCATTTATTCATTCCATTATCTCGCTTATGTCAGCTTTATTTGCTCCTCTTCTCAGCTTTATTCCACAACTGATAATTTCATTTTTATGCATGCTTGTTATTGTTTTCTTTTTATCCTTTTCTTTCCTTGCTGTCATTTCTTGTCAATGCCCCCTCAAGATAAAGCAGCTTACAAAGAAGGTAAGACCCCAGATTAGGCAGAATTAGAGAAGCCAGTCTGTTTATTAGAAGCATGTTTATGTCAGTTGGAACTGCACCACCAGTCTGATCTGTTCTTCAAGGTGTCCTTGGATAAATTAAAATTGCCATCTGGTTTGGCATATTTTTGTTATTGTTGTTGTTTTTGCTATGGTAGACTGTTTCATTAATTTAAAACAATTTTCTCAGGGAATAATTTAACTAAGCCCACCACAAAAAAATATGTAGGATTTTATGTGTATATGTCAGAGAAAAGAAAAAAACTTTATACTGTAGGTTTTCTTTACAAAATAAAATAAATGAATACATTTTATTAAAAATGTATATCAAAGAAAAAAGCAATAAAAAAATATTATTGCCATTATCAAAGCTACTAATTTTGAATAAAATTTGAAATTATATAGCTATAGCTATAACTTCATAATTTATTTTTCTGGAAAACAGTACTGAATATTTGTGTATATAATGACAGTAATGTAATTTTCAGTCTATTTTTTCTACAACTGCAAGTTTCGTTATAATGTATAACCTTATATATTATGCCGTTAGATAATCTTAACTTGTATATAAATCAGCTCAACTTGCAACAACTCGTAGCATAAAATCAGATGTACATGATCAACATAGCACTCCATGATAGAGCAAGTGTCTGTTTTAAAACTGGCCACGAAACTCTCTGGAACTGGCCAACTTAATTACTAACCCCTGAGTGATGGCTTCACCACTGTGCAATTATAGAAAATGAATCAACATTACTGCAATGGGAGTCAAACGTCTGGAATGGAGAATTCAAAAGTGCTGTGAATTAAGTAATATGACACCCTGTAATGATGTATGATATCAACTCATTTAGTAATGAATCATGCTTGACAGCAGGTTGAATAATGGATTTGTTCCTTACTGCAGAACGAACAACTGCGACAGGATGTGGAGTTCTACAGAAAGGAAGTAGAGCAGAGAGAGCCTCTTCAGACCAAAGAGGAGAGCAATGAGATTCAGAGGAGACTTACCAAAGCCAACCAACAGCTCTACCAGTGCATGGAGGACCTGCAGGTAATCCTCAAATCACCTTCAGCCTGCCATATAATGCCATCATAACATGGCAGGCTCACTGTCTAGATTAATACACCTCTAATGCTGCAGTTCTTCTTTAAATGGGATGTATTTTACACTTATTTTACACATTTATCATTTTCTCATAAGCATAAACTGAAAAGATGAAAATAAATTTGCACAGTGAAAAATTTTATATGTATATATTAGTGCTGTAAAACGATTATTCGCGATTAATCGCATCCAAAATAAAAGTTTTTGTTTACATAATATATGTGTGTGTGTACTGTGTATATTTATTATGTATATATAAATGCACACACATGCATGTATATATTTAAGATTTTTTTTTAAAAGCATTAAGATGTGTGTGTATTTATATATACATAATAAATATACACAGTACACACACACATATATTATGTAAACAAAAACTT